TTCTCAAAATTATCCAATAAGATTAAATGATAATTTTGACTAATAATTAATGTGAAATTTCATTATACAACAATATAGTAAAAAAATTCCTCTATAGTCACATCCCCTTTATAGTTACCAAATTTTGCTTTCCTGAGAGTGGTGATTATAAAGAGATTTGATTATATATTAATAAATAATATATTAACAATGATCGATAATTATTGATATGAATGTTTATTAAAGATCATCAGAATTATCGATTAATATCGATATTTTAGAGAGATATTTATCAATTTTTACAGATATGACAATGATTCTTGATGAATATTACCCCAAAAAATTTCCTGATGTAGGCTTTTAATTATATATATATTGAATTTCATATGTTTATAGTATTTATATTACTTTTGAGCACTACTGTATGTAATACAAAAATAAAGTCATAATTTTATAATTCTAAATCAAGTTTAAAAATAAACTGTATATATTATATGAATATAAATAACTAAATGCTTTGTATCTAAATTATGAATAAATATATTTAAAAATCATAAAATCATAACTTGTATTAATAACATGATAATAATAATGCAAAAATAAATACTTATCCAACAAAATCTATCAGGATATTATGTGATATATGATATAATACATCAAATATTTTACTTTTAATTTTTCTTAATAATCAACTTTTAATTAAAATATAATATAAGCTGTGATAGCATAGATTTTTTTTGGTTCTTTTCATTCTCTTTCAAGTGTAGTTTCAATGATCTTTCCAACTATTCTCTAACATCATTATTAACTAAAATTTTTGATCTGGATGCATATACCAAAAAATGTAATAAGATTGTATCACTAATCATAATTGACTCATATTATTATTATTAAATTTGGTATTAGTAATAATATGATATAAAGGAATTAGTAACTCACTTTGGTCATATCTATTTGCAATATGAGAGTAAATACTTTTTTTTCAACCAACAAAAGTTGCGCATTATGAGTTCTAGCTCTCTCATGTTGCAGACGTACACCTTTCCAAATTCTTGGACAGTAGAAGAGTTGATTTGTTTATTGAAAGTTTCAAGCAGGATGCGAGCTTTCCCAGCTTGTTCTCCATTACCAGAAGCAATAACATTCAATACTTCAAGACAGACCTCCTCGGCTTATTTTTTTTTTGCGATAATGGAAACTTGGTCTTCGAAAAAAAACTTAGCAACATCATATCCTCTTCCTAAAACATTTACTAGAACTTGAACGTAATCTCATTGTAAAAGATATCAAATGTTAATAAGAGTTCTAAATTGCCTGTAAATGATATTTTTTTTAAACCCGAAACTTTTTTAGACAGTATAAGGTCGCTATATCAACGATGAAAGCTGTTTCCGTGACAACACCAAAGGCAGAAAATGCACTCTCCAAGTGGAAGACATATCCCCGCTGGTTTTACATGTCCTAGAAACACTGGATCAAGGAACCAGAACCTTATGCATCTTTCAAAAGTCGTTTATACAATCAATTTACGGACAAAAACACAGAGGCACAAGACATACTCTCCCGTGGGAAGATGAATGCCCTCAGGTTTTACAGGCCAGTAAACGCCGAGTTTATATTTAAAATTATACTTAACTGGTAGCAGACGTGGACATGGTTATGTTTAAAGCTCGAATAAAAAAAGTAACAGTAGCCGTGGTTTGGTAGGTTTGGTATGTGTCGATACATGTGCATGTAAGCAAAATACTTTTTAAGTGTGACATCAATGTCACAGGAAAATGTCAAATAACTAAATTTTAAAACGCAGATCACTAGAAATTATATTAAACTTTTTATTCATTACAAATGTCGCAAAAGAAAGGAGTCTATGCTACACAGTCGGTAACCATCATTTAAATTACCTTTCT